ATGAGCTTTGTTTTTACCAAATGGACAATAGTCATAAGAATTATTTGTTTACATAGATTCTTTTTGGAGACAGTGTCTTGCTCTATAGAACAGACTGACTTTTTATACTTTATTATTTTTATTTTATGTGTATGTGTGTATTGCTTGCACGTAGATAAGTGCACCCGTGCCATGCAATGCCTGCAGAGGACAGAAGAGACTGTCAGATCCCCCCTGGAACTGGAGTTACAGACAGTTATGTTAGCTGCCATGTAGGTGCTGGGATTTGAACCCGGGTCTTCTGCAAGAACAGTCAGTGTTCTTAACCACTGAGCCATCTCTCCAGCCCCAGAACAGACTGACTTTAAATGCTTTTTTCCTCTGCCTCAGTCTCCCAAGTGCTAGGGTCACATGCCTGTGTTACCACTCCTAACTGTATATTATTTATTTTTACCTAGGCAGGTAACCATGCATGTGGCCACTCCTTTGTATGAGGGAGGTTATAACTGAATAGTTTTAACATTAATGTTCAGGGTAAGCGAGATGGCTCAGCAGATAAATGTTCTTGCTGCTAAGCCTGACAGACCTGAGTTCAGTCTCCAAGACCATGTGGTCAAAGGAGTAAACTGGCTCCTACAAACTGTCCTCTGACCTCTGCAAGTGCTCCATGGCACACACACACGCATGCACGCACGCACGCACACACACACACACAATGTAGGCCGTAGGGCTGGAGAGATGGCTCAGTGGTTAAGAGTACTTGCTACTCTTGCAGAGGACTTGGGTTTCCAGCACCCACATGGTGGCTAATAACTGTACCTTAACTCCAGTTCCAGGGGCTCTGATGCCCACTTCTAGCCCCCATGGGCATTGCACACATGGGTTCACTTACATAAATGTATACAAAACACTCATATATCTAAAATAAAAATAAGTTAAAAAATTTCTCACATAGGCTGGGCATGGTGGTGTATTCAGGAAGCAGAGGCAGGAAGATCTCTGTGAGTTCAAGACCAACCTGGTTTATATAGTTCCAGTCCTGTCAGGGGTACACAGTGAGACCCTGTCTGAAAAAACAAACAAAAAGTAATAAAAATTTTTAAAGTAAATTGTTAATGGAATTAAAAATATTTTTCTATGAAAATCTCTGATTATCTCTTACTATAACAAGCCACAGATTTTTTTGAATCATTATTTTATACTCTAAAGGTAAGTATAGTCTAGTGAAACTCTCATTTAAGTCATATATTTGACAATGCTTTGGGGAATCTGGGGGTATCTTTAAGAGTGATAGTCTCTAAATCAGGAATTGGGTGCCAGTTGCTCACAGTCACACAAATGTCCACTGAGTCAGTGGTCTTCGGGTTCTTGTCTCACAAATTTGAAGAATGAAATTCACAGACCACAGAAGGTGAGCTTTGGAAAGAAATTTATTGTAGATTTATAGATGGATGCTTAAGTGCAAGAAAGAAGACAGAGCCCTATGTATTAGGAGCAGGTCTGCAGGAATGGGACACCCTCAGCATGGCAAGAGGAACAAGCTGGTCCATCTGGGTGGTGCACCCGATACTGCTCACGCTCCTCCCCTGAGTTTCAGTCACATCTTCACATGTAGCTCCAAGCAAGGGTAAGAGAAAATGAGAAGCAGAGCTCTCTTCTGGCATTCCTGGCCTCCAGCAAGGACATTCTGGGAATTGCTGTTTTGGGGTTCCTGCCCTACCTGACCAGCATCTACCTCCCGTGTTCATCAACCTGTATGCATATATGTTGTACCACGTTGATATAAAATGTTTTAGATAGGGTTTTACTATGTAGTTCTGGCGGCCTAGAACTTACTATGTAGACCAAGTTAGCCTTGAATTCAGAGATCTACTTGTCTCTGCCACCCTCCTGAGTGCTGGGAGTATGCCACCATGCTGGATCCAAAATGTATTTCTTTTTCTTTTAGTTTCATTTATTTTCATTTTATGTATATTGCCTACATGTATGTAAGTATACCTGTGCCATGCAATGTGCCATGCAATGTCCATGAAGGACAGAAGAGGACATCGGATCCCCTGGAAGTGGAGTGGTATTCAAAATACTTAGCAATCAGGGAAATGCAAGCTAAAACTACTTTGAGATTTCATCTTACCTCAATCAGAATGGCTAAGATCAAGAAAACAACTGACAACAAATGCTGGTGAGGATTCAGGAAAAGGGGAACCCTCATTCACTGTTGTTGGGGTTGCAAACTGGTGCAGCCATATGGAAATCAGTCTGGAGAATCCTCAAAAAGCTAAAAGTAGATCTGCCGCTCTACCTCACCTTGGCATAGAATCAAAGGACTTGAAATCCTATTACAGAGAGACTTGCTTGGCCAGGTTCATTGCTGCTCTATTCACAATAGCTAGGAAATAGAAACAACCTAGATGTTCTTCAAATGATGAATGGATAATAAAAAAAATGCAGTATATATACACAATGGAATTCTATTCAACTGTAAGGAAAAATGAAATCATGAAATTTGCAGATAAATGGATTCAACTGGAAAATATACTGGGCAGAGAACTTTAGCTGGGGAGTGGGTAGGAAGGGTAATACAGAGGGAGAGGGAGGAAGGAGAGATAACACTAAGGATGTTTGAAAAAGTTATAGGGAAACATTTTTAAGTTTACTTAAAATCACACACACACACACACACACAGAGAGAGAGAGAGAGAGAGAGAGAGAGAGAGAGAGAGAGAGAGGGAGAGTTTAAATTGAGTTACACCATATGGGGAGATAATGCTCCTCCCAAGAACCAAAGACTGTCTAACCCCAGAGTCAGGAATGGGAAACTTCCCTTGGAGAGTTGTTGGTTGGGGAGGGGGAGACAGTCTAAGAGACTACAAAAAAATATATAGGGTATTGTCATTTCCTTTGGCTGCCTCTTAGAACTTGAAGGTAAGACCCTGTTCTTGAGGACACCACACTCTAGAACACACATTTGGAAGAGTCGAACTGGAACTGCTTCCTCTAGCTCTCCTACTATTGGAAGGTGCTATACAAGCTGCCGAGAGAGAAAAGCAATCAATAGTTGTACTCAGCTGTAAAGCCTACAAACCGTAACAATGAGTATCCTGGCAAGATACCACCAATGGTGAAACAGTGGCACTTTTATCTTGAGGGTAACCAACAGCTATCTAATTGGACTAAGGCCTGCTTAACAGGATGGAATTCATGCCTAGTACTATAAAAACAGCCAAACACCTATGACTAGAAGGTTATAGACTCCCCACTCCCCCACCCCAAGAACAACCTACTACTACTTCCACTTTTCTAAACTAATATGATTTCTAAACTGTATTCTACTTATCCTTATACCCACAGAGCAGTGTAGCTCTCACCCCTCATCAAAGAAGTTTCTTTTTGCAGCAGATGGAAACCATTACATAGATCCACAACTCATCAAAATGAAGAAAATAAGTGATTGTGGGGTGCCCAACCCCAATCTGTACACCTAAGGCTCAGAGAACATCACAGAAGATTAGAAAAGATTATAGGAGCCAGAGGACCAGGATACCTGCTGGTAGATAATGGCTTAGAGACTTCACAGGGAAGCTGCACTCACGAAATCTCACCTGCATAATGACATCACTGTTGACATGCCAACATGGATGGGGAAAATTTGACAAGGTTCTACCTCTAGATGAAGAGCTACAGGCAATCAATAGCCGCTGTGTGAGAACAAATCAGGTTTCTACAGAGCTGAGCCACATGATCCCATGTATCCCCATGTATCCCATGTATCCAATCCCAAAAGGTCAGCCCTAAACACACGTACATATAAGCACTGTATGTAAACGTACATGTACATATAAGCAACACTAAATGGACTCAGTAGGTTGTGTGACTGTATATACTATGTAATAATGAGGTCATGAATTTGAGAGGAAGTAGAGGGTGGGCTGGAAATAGTGTAAATACAGTACTCATATATGAAATTCTCAAAAACATAAAAATTAAGAAAAGCGTGCCTCGTGCTATACTAAGCATTTCCATTATATTGGACCGGACTTCTAGCTTCCAGCTTAGCCACTGCACTACCTACGGGTTTCTCTGAAGACTTCATTTCTTTCTCACCGGGGACATTGGTGGAAGACCACAAAGAGCTTTGATCTGAACAGTGTTAACTAGTTATGTGCAAAACCCTTTCCTCCAGTCGACGCACGGGGACTTACATTGCCCACGTCCCACTACGTCCCACTCCCGAGTCCACGCTGTTTCAACCCTCATTCCGACAGCTATTGCAGAGGAAGTTCTCTGGGTAACATCCAGAGCTCCTGTGTCACCAAACGCTGGGTCGGGAGGGCAGAGACGAGCCAGGCTTTCTGCCTACTCAGCCCTCCGTAGTCAGTGTGTGCCTACAGCCAGTGGAAGCGCAGTGGTCCCAGGGCGCATGCTGCGACTGGAGGAAGCAGCAGGCTGCATGGATGGGCGTGTCCCAACGGCGTCGGGGAAGGGCGGCAGGCACACCAGGAAGTCAGTCTAGGAGGGAGGGTGGAACACAAGGAGAGCGACTTCCGGTGGCGCAAAGCGTGTCGGGAGCGGCTTCCAGCAAACCTCGTTCTCTGGCCGGAGCGAGACCACCGTTAGTGCCGCTGGGGCTTCCACGACCTGCTCCGGGCTAGGCGGCCTTATCGGCCGCGTCCGCAGCTCCGCTTGCCCTCGGCCTGGTCCACGTTCGTTCCCAGGCGGCTCGCGCGCGTGCAGCGGCGGCCGCGGCCGACATGTTGTGAGGCGGCGGCGCGGGTGCCTGAAGGATGGTTTGGCTGAGACCGCGGCAACGGCTGCTGGCGACGGCGCCCGCGGGGGCTCCGGCTCTGTAGAGCCGAACCTGCTGGTGTCCGCTGGGTCCCGCGATCGGGCCCGAACTCCTGGGTCTTGCGTGCGCTCCGGTACCGTTGAGGTCTGGATAGACGGCAGCACCCCGCCGCCGGAGGCGACACTAGGTGGTTCCTACAGCCCCGGGAGTGGGGTCCCCGGAGCCCCGCAGCCCCTCACGGACTCCCTCTCTCAGCGGGTTTTCCCCACCCCGCGGAGCCCGCTCCTCTGCCTTCCTCATTTCTGTGCCCTCTTCTCCGAGCGTCCCCCCGGAGCCCTCCCCTGGGGCGGCCTTTTGGGAAATCTTAGTGGAGTAGTGGACCAGAGTCGGGCGGTTTTCTAGCAGGGGCTCTACAGACAGGGAGGTACTATGGCTTCCTCGTCTGGCAACGATGATGATCTCACCATCCCCAGAGCTGCTATAAATAAGATGATCAAAGAGACTCTCCCGAATGTCCGGGTGGCCAACGATGCCCGAGAGCTGGTAGTGAACTGCTGCACTGAATTCATTCACCTTATATCTTCTGAAGCCAATGAGATTTGTAACAAATCGGAAAAGAAGACCATCTCACCAGAGCACGTCATACAAGGTAAGCCATTTGTGTGAGATTTGGTTTAAATAAAGGGCCAGGGGAACGGATAGTTAGTGAAGCCTAACCAGTACATGTCAAAAAGCCTTCATTCCTCTTCACTGGTAAGTGCTAAAAAAGTCACAAGGGCACGGAGGCAGAAAACACCTATAGTTTGGACACTCTTCATGCAGCTACTGCAAATAAACAGTGCAAACATTGGATCCACAAACATCCTCAACACAAACAATTAGTACATTTTACAGCCAGGTCTTAAAGCCACAAAAATTGACTGCCTGCAGTTAAAACTTGGATGACAACTGAGCAAGGAACCTGAAAGTTCTCCTTGGAAAGTTAAATTTTAGACAGAACTTCAAGCATGAGTTGAGTCAGGGTACCTCTTCCTCACCTGACCTTTTTACCAATGGAGAGGAAAAATTCATTTTCTGAATACACAAATACAAAAAACTCGGACTGGAGATGTAGCTCAATGAACGGTGCTTGCCAAGCATACATAAGGCACTGGCTCTGATCCCCAGCATAGCATTTAAAAAAAAAAGTACTAACACGAGTGTGTTCACTGTTGTAAAAGTTACCGCTTTTTAAAAAGGGAGTAGGTTTTTTGCTTTAAGTGATTTGATGGTGGAACATTGATCAGCGACGGACCAAAACACTCCTGTAAGAAAAAGGCAAATGCTCCATTTCCCCCTTTAACTTTTATGCTTGTTTTGTTCTTTGGAAATGTTTTAAAAGCTTGGGTTAAAAGTTATGTAGGTGACTTTTATGCTTGTTTTGTTCTTTGGAAATGTTTTAAAAGCTTGGGTTTAAAGTTATGTAGGTGATTCTTCCCCTCTCCAGCCCCTCAGTCCTGGGAAGTGGGCGTCATTCATGCTAGGCAAGTACTCAGTCGCTGAGCTCCAAGCCTGCCTTCCTCAGGCTTGAGTATGTACACTTAAGCTTTTATTGAAAAGTACTTCTAAAAGTTTCGGCCATTTTTTTCTTATTCAGAAAAGGATTTGTAATAGGGACTTGGCAGATTGCATTTTGATAGTTGCAGGGAAGGAAGACAAAAATCACTTGTGGCACAGTTTTGGGACTTTTCATGTACTCTTAGGAAAAAGTTGTATTCAGTTTGAGGTGATAACTTCTATTTTGTAATGGTTTAGTGGAATTCATTTTTTTTAAATATTTTTATTTTATGTGTATGAGTGTATTACCTGCATGAATGGAAGTGCTCCCATGTCTTGCAGTGCCTGTGGAAGTTAGAAGAGGTGTTGGATTCCCCTGGAACTGCAGTTACAGACTGTTGTTAGCTGCCATGTGGGTGCTGGGAATAGAACCTGGGTCCTCTGTAAGAGCGAGCAGCCAGTGTTCTTAACCACTGAGCCATCTCTACAGCCCAATTTCTTTTTTCTTTAATTTTATTTGTGTATATAAGTGTCTTGCTTGCATGTGTATATTCTCCAGCCCCCTCAGTAGTTAACTGCTTAAGTAAAAAAAAGATCAAATTTAATCATATTGCTAGGCAGGTAGTTCTCTACCATTGAATGTTTATAATTTAACTTTTAAAAATTCTAGTTAATTCTTGTTAGTTAATGTCAAGTGATGAACACATCTGTTTGCCTTGTTTGTTTATTTATTTATTTATTTATTTATTTAGAGTCTCACTATGTAGCTCAACTGGCTTGGAATTCACTATATAGACCTGGCTGGCCTCGAACTCAAAGAGATTAGCCGCCTCTGCCTCTCAAGGGCTGGGATTAAAGGCATGTGCCACCACATGTGAACACATCAGATTATATTAACCTGATCCATTATTTTACTGTTAGTATTGACAAGGATTAAGTAAGCGATTCACTTTTGATCTTTTAAAATATACTCTGCTGTGTTGGGGGTGTACTCAGTCGTGAGTGCTTACTTAGCATGTCAGAGTAATTGGGTTTAGTCCCAGTTGGGGG